GGGGGGGTGTCAGAATTATAATTAATGGGATTAGTCAAAACTTACTTGTACGTTACACTAAAACCTAAAAGTAAATAATTTGATTATACTCTCTGATATAGTTCGCGCTTATGGAATTAAATTTGAAAACTAAATTGGATTATTTCAACTCAATATTTTAAAATTTTAATTCAAATATTTAAAAGCTATACGAAAAGTGCTACTATAAATTACAATTTTTCTCATGTCAAAATAATAAAATATATAAATTTTAAAAAGTTGGCCAAACTTCACACAATTTAACACTCAAAAAACCAAATATGCCATCTAATCTAAAATAGAGGGAGCATCCTTCTTCAAATTAGGATACTAGTATTGACTACACCATAAATTTTCTATTACTCGGTTATACTAGTTCCTTTTTTTTTTCTTTCCCTTTGACAGTTTAAATACATATTTGCGTACAACTCGATTATTTTGTTGAGATCGAAATATGCACTAAATACTTTTTGAGAGGTCTCCTTCAAATTGCCGATATGGTTATCAAAATCAACATCAACATTCAGGATTCAAATCCAAGTAATAGTATAAGTCCCTTTAGCTATTGTTCTTGAGAAATGACCTAGTCTGACCCGTTTCTAGGTTTGGCGAATTATAAACAATAATCGAGTCACTACTGTGTCGAATAAGTCTTAATGATGCATCTCTTCCAATGGCGAGACCATCTACTCGTACTTTTGAATCTAGAAGTACCGGTGGAGGGCAAGAAACTACTCAACTCCACACATTTGTAATAGTAACAATGTTATTATTGAAAAGTATAATTAATATCTAGTAAATAAGTTAAGGTGCATAAATTGATTCGGAACATTATCATTGTAAAAAATATTACCGTTATGAACGTTATTGCAAAAGAATAATGTTAAGTGTATTACACCATATACCCCACCATCACCTATGCAACACCAAAACATCACTTTTGAACCCCACAACAAAAGTTTAATTTATAGTTTTTCTTTGAGTGGATGTAATTTGATAAGTTATTAATTCACCCATAACTTTGGATGGTCAGAAAATGACAAGAAAAGGAGACCACCAAAACCTTCCAAAAACCGCATCCACTACAAAAAACATTAGCTTTTCATTTGATTCCAAACAAGTATTCCAAAATTCTTGCCTCTTTATTGAGTTAAATACAAACTGGAAAAGCATTTTTACTAAAGCAAAGAATCTTTCTTGATATATCATATTTAAAAAACTGTACATTTTAGCCGGCTGGGAAGAGTTGATTTTATAGTCAATTATAAATGTTCTTTTAATTATATGATCATTTTCACATGATATCGATAAAAAGATAATATAAGATATCTATAAATGAAATTATTTACCCTCAAAATCGGATAACAATTGAATTTATAAGTGGTTCAAAGGATACGTGGAATAGTTTGACACAAAGCGATAGATTGAATTATAGATGAAGCAAACAATAATAAAGTAAATTCAAACCGTATGACTTGAACAGTTATAACCTTGGAAAATAAGTCTCACCCGAATTGGATGTGATTCAAATGATATCAAATACAGAAGAACAGTAGCTTGCAAAAAGAAAAATAATATTATAATACTTTGGGATGCGTGTTACAATGTGTTTTGCAAACTATCAGACCCCCTTTATATAGTAGGAGAGTCCTACTTTAGGTACAATTCTTTAAAATGTAGAAAATCCCATGATTTTCTAATCATCCGGTCTCTCATTGATACGTGCCGAGATTCCCTCTGATCGATTACGAATATTTCGTCCTTCCGTTATTCGGTGTGATAATGTTTCCTCGAGCTCATTTGGAATTGGGGTCAGTTCTGGAGTCACAGACTCGATAATCTTGAAGATGTATGTTCTAACCTCGTACCTTGGTTCGATGGAACTCGGGGTTGATCTTCAATCCTTTTCGTTTCAGTCCCGATCTGTCATGCAATAGAAGAATCTGACTTTGATCGTATACAGATAGTCCCGTCGTTTTCGGATAGTAAACAATGAGAAACGATATGAGCCATCGATCCTCGTCCCGATACTTCGCGTAAAAAACGACAAAATGGACGAAACGTCTCGTCAGTCACGTCTCAACGGCATTAAATGTTCGTTAGTTGCTGGTCGACCACTGCAGGTTTTGAACCGTCGTTTGAAAACTATAAATACCTCTTCCTTCATTTATTCAAACTTTACATCCAATATTTTCCTACTCTTGCTCTTAAAGAATCTTTGCATTTTCTAGTACTTATACCCAAATTTCTTGAGAGCTTTGTAAGAATTCCCCATTTGTTTGAACTTTTAAGCACACTCTTTTAATTCCTTCTTATTTATCTTTATCCAAAAAATGGCGAAGACTTTTAAAACAGTTCCTCAAAAAGAAACTGCTTCTTCATCACGGCCGGTCGGTGAGGAACGAACGGTGGAGCCTCCTCTTGAGGCATTTATTCCTGGCGGGTGCTCGGTGATCAGCGACTTTAAAGTCGAAAAACCTTCACCTCTTCCGGGCCGGGGTGAAAAGGTATCGAGATATATTTGCTCGATCACCAAAGAGACTCTCCCTACAGCCATAAAGGACTGCAACTGGGATGGAAAAGACGTGGCGGTGCCTTGCCCCGAAGAAGATATCACTACCCACGTTAAGGGATACTTAAGTATTTACACTTATCCCTTTACGCTGGGTCTATTGGACCTGGTGATCATCCAGCTCTGCAAAAGGTACAAGTGTGCCTTGGTAAGATATATCTTCGTTCTGGAGGATAGTTATTCTCCTCCGATTCTTCATGAGTAAGATCGACGGATGCCCATTCATCGTTGACCATCTGATGCGCCTGTACAGTCCCCGATTCTTCCGGGGAAGACTGATTAACTTGCGCACTTGGCCTCTAAAGCCCCGTTCTCGAGCATCGATGAAGATTGAGATCGAGGCTGGCTAGGCTTATTTGTCCGAGTGAGGACCTCAAACCTGATCCCGACCAAGGACATGCCGTTCCTTAAGGAGTAGAACACAAAGCGTAAGTAAAGTTCCATTTTTCTCAAAATTTTATTTTTACTCTCTTTTTATCCTTTCTAATCGATGTTCGGTGTCGATGCAGCTGTTGCTCGGGTTTCGGATGCAGTTCCTCGACTCAAGGAATGGGTTAAGGACATTGTTTCACAGAAAACATATTCTGAGCACACTTGGCGTTAACTTTTGAAGGGCTGGTAGGAGGCTCGTTCTCATGGTAAGATTACTTTCTTGAGTGAGCAACACTCGGGTCCCCTTTGTGCTATTGAGTTCTTACTTTTATTTTCTTTTTTCTTTTATGTCTTTCCAAGGATGTTGCTATTAGGCCTCCATCCGATGATGAGGACGTACCCCCCAAGTCCCCTGCTCCGAGGTAGGGTGATGAGAAGAAAAGGAAGAGGGCCCCGAGTTCCCCGAGCTCGAAAAAGAAGAGAACAAAAGAAGTCTGGTGCTAAAATCTAAAGGTAGCACCAGTGCTCAGGCATCCTCTTTGAACTCACGCCTTCGACTGAGGGATGAGTTAGAAGAAGAAGAAGAAACCTCCGAACTGGTGGCCTATGTGCGGTCAGGGTTTGAGGTACAAGGGGCCTCCGAGTTAGAGAGAGATGGGGCCTATCTGCCTCGAGCCAGGGAGGTAAACGAGGAGATCATGGCCGAGGCCAGTATTGAGGCCATAATCGAGACCGATACGGAGGCCGGGTCGAGGCCAATATTGAGGCCGTGGTCGGGGCCTCTCAGGATGAGGGCGGAGCCTCGAAGGATGTACTCGGTGTGATAGACATCACCGAGTTGCCTTTATTCATTGAATCAATAATCAACGAGGCTCAGGCAGCCAACCCTCTCCTTAGCGAGGGCCCCCATAGGGTGGCAGACCCATTTCACAACTTTTTTGATGGTGTAAACAATACCGCTTTGGAGGACATCACTAGGCTGGGTGACTTACCGATACCAAAAAGAGTCCGTCTTCGGGAACCAGCGGGTTTTTTCGAGTCCGAAACTAATAAGCCAGTTCCCATCTCCAAGTGCAGATCCTAGCTAGAAGTGGACAATTATTATGTCCATTACGGAGGATGCCCAGGTCCTCTTAGCCCCCGTGGGGGTCACAAATTACCTTCTGTGCTTGGTAACCAAAGAGGATCAAGCGAAGATGAACGAGGTGGAAACGCCTTGCTTGTTCAATGAAGCCCAACAGGTGTTAAACCGGATAACTTCGAGTGCCTCTTTATGCCTTTTTTATTATGTACTTAGATTAAGCCATAAAGAATCGTGACCCTTTCCTTTATGTTTGTAAGCCTCGGTGCTCTATCATGAAATTTTTCTCCGATAACGAGAAGAATTAAACAACCACGAGGCCGAGACTCGGGAACCCATCGAGAATTGGATGCTTACAAGCTTTTTAGTGAACAACATGAGGGGTAGGTCAAGAAACTCCAAGCTGAGCTGGAGGCGGACCGGAAGGAGCATGCTGACCCGGTCGAGCAGGTAAGAATAGTTTTTAGGGATAGTGACAATGAGTTAGATATAGTGGCTAATGGCCCGAACCCCAGGTGTAACAGAAGCTTGACCAGGTCGGATAGCTTCAGGCAGAGGTAGACGCGGTAAAGGCCGAGGCAGAAGAATGGAAAAAGAACATGGACCACCTGGCCTCAGAAAAGGAGACCGCCTGAGCACAACTGGCTTCGGCTTCGGTTCAACTTCAAGGTTTAAAGGAGAAGTCCTTGGCGTAGGCCAAGAAGATCGGGGAGCTCCAGTCCTAG